AGTTACATATGTTACATAGGTTACAAAGGGAGTAATGGAGGAATTAAGAATGAAATAAATTGATGGATAACCAATGCTAATGGATGATGTAGAAGTCATTCATTCTTATAACTCCAAAATAAAGCAATTTAATATGTTAAATATTAATATTAAAATGCTAATAACCTAACACTTATTTCCCGAAAATTCATGATAAAATTCTGTAAAATATGTTCCTTTTCAATGTGAATATATATGGATTCTTATAATAAATCGTCCTTATTGAGTTTTCATATATTTTGGTCAATATCGACGGATTTCATTTGACTCTAATTTCAAGCCACATATATGGAATCCATATGATTATTATCAATATTGATGAAATATTCAACATTTAACTTTTGAAGAATTTCCAGTTCCTTCGTAGTTGTTTACAGTTGTAAGATAAAGAAGTTGAAAATTAATTTTTTTATGATATTTTGCATGGTCCTATGCATACACTTGTTTTCTTGTCTATATTTCTTCTTTGTTGAAAATTCATGAATTAATTATTAATTTAAACTATTAACGTCTGAATGCTATGAATTGTTTCTCAAACTTAAAATTATATTGAATTTTAATATGCGTAAACTGTAAAAATTTGAGTTGAGTAAATTATTTTTAAAGTTTACTTGTCAAAATTTGTAACTCCAACTATACTATATATAAACTAGAATTGTTCGGTTCAATTTTTTTTTTATTATTAACAAATATCCCATTCATCTCAATTTATATAACGTAATTTAATTAAAATTAAGTACATGGAATAAAGGGAAAACTTTAAAATGTTTCAAAATAATCTATAAAAGAGTGTACCTTTATGAATCTTTTTACCAAACAAGTGGAATCTAACGTGAATAAAATATTGATATCATTATTAAGTTTTGCAATGAGTCATTATTCTTGAACTAAATAAAAATAAAACTTGTCATATAAATTGTCACAATTAAATATTATCAACTACATAAAATTAGTGGCCGATTTTTTATATATAACTCAAAAGATATCATCCCTACTTTTTTTTGGGTGAAAAAAAAAAGAAGCAAAATTGGGACCAAAGGCCAAACCAATTGCATCAATGACTCGACCCTTTAGAACGCACGCCACCAGAGTTGACCTTCACCAACCTTTTCTTTAATTGTTGGAAAAGCCATCTCAACAACCCAATTAATGAATTTTAAAAAGAGCCAAATTCTCCACTACTATAAATAACTACTATTATTATCCCAAACACACACAATATTATCCCATTACTAAACCTTTCAACTTTTTCTTTAATCTCAAACCTCAAATTTAACTAAACACTTTCCCATGGCTCCTGCTCCATCTGAGACAATAACTACCGATGTATCATCGGAAAACAATAATGTTACCATCACTGGGAAGATATACACACGAGTTCGTCTTGCTACGAAATCTGATTTGTCTCATATATACAAATTGTTTTACCAAATCCATGAATACCATAACTTCACTCATTTATACAAAGCTACTGAGTCCTCCTTAGCCAACTTGCTCTTTAAAGAAAACCCTCTTCCACTTTTCTACGGTCCATCCGTACTTCTACTTGAAGTCTCTCCAACACCTTTTGACGAACCTAAAAATACTACAGACGAAGGGTTCAAGCCTATCCTTACAACGTTTGACCTTAAATTCCCAGTCGTAGAAGGAGAAGTTGAGGAATTCCGATCCAAATATGATGATAAGAGTGATGCTTACATTGCAGGATATGCTTTCTTTTACGCGAATTATTCGTGTTTCAATGACAAACCTGGATTCTATTTTGAAAGTCTTTACTTCAGGGAGAGTTATAGGAAGTTGGGAATGGGGAAATTGTTGTTTGGAACTGTTGCATCCATTGCTGCCAACAATGGATTCGTATCAGTAGAGGGAATAATCGCAGTATGGAATAAGAAGTCATATGATTTTTACATAAATATGGGAGTTGAAGTATTTGATGAGTTTAGGTATGGCAAATTGCATGGTGAAAATCTTCAAAAGTATGCTCATAACTAGGACATAAATAACGAAGGCAGCTGTTAGCTACTGTGTGTTTTCTTTTAATAAAAATAGTGAAAGTTCAATTCATACATTTCTTATTTGTAATTTTGTAAAAGCAGAATGCTCATTAAATTTGTATTTGAAAATTTTAAATTGATAATTATCACATTAAACCCCTCTATTCAATTTACATGATCTTCTTCTTCTTCTTTAAGTTATTAAAAAAAAATCACATTTTTCTTAACTTTAAAAAAATCACATCTTTCTATATTTAGAGGTAAGTTCAAAGTACATAGGGAGGGGCATAACCTTAATTACCGCTCATTGTAATTTCGTCTCTCTTAGCCCATAAGAAGTCAAAAATGTTAGAATGAACTCTCAACCAGTGTCCAACAAAAATGAGACAGACGATGCAAATTATGAAGCTAAAGTAATTAATTAATCAACTAAACGACTAAATAGATTTTCTGAAAATATGTGATTGCGTTCCTAATTAACTTAATATGTTTGGCTGCCCCGGTACATATACAATAACGTAATATGTTATGAACATGCATACATATACGTTAAATTAGGTCTTAAATCTAATTCACACGACAAAAACTAACTTAAAGAAAGGAGGATCATCCAATCCTTATAAAGAGTTCATCCATATCATTAACCACCAATTTGAGACTTTTATCACTCTTTAACACCTCATCTCAAACTCAGTGCTTAGCAGGTGAACACTTGTAATGGGGGCACAACATTACATCGGTGAACAACAAATATTGAAATAGACTTGACTTTGATATCAAGTTAAATTAGATTTTACATCTAACTTACTAGCTCATGAGGGTAAGGGAAATTTGTCAAAATGCATATAAAGAGACCACTTAATCTCTTATCCCTCTACTAATGTAGAACTTCTTTACAATATGATGCACTATATTAAGGGCTTTTTACATATTCTTGAGTATGCTTAAACACATTATATAGATTTATAATATCAATAGAACAAATCAATTAATTATGATATCAAAAGGATAATTTTCTCTAACACCATTTAAATTAGATTTTTTAAGATAAGGTTCATTTACCCATGAGCCTTACAAGGCTCAAAAAATCATGAGCTTTGTAAGGCTCAACCACCTTTGAGCCTTACAAGGCGTAGGTGTCTCAGCACCTTGCGGCAGTTTTTTTTTTAAAAAGTCATTGCTAGCCATTACTTTGGTGTTTTATTTTTATTGTTTCTTACATAATAATAATAATACATAGTTAGAGCTTATGATCCATAAAGATGCATAAATCTGTAAGGTTTAGTTCAACTACAAAGTTTGAAGTGACATGACCATTGCTTTTGTTTTACTGGAAAATAGAATTTTGATTTGCAGTGTTGACTCTGCAAGATTTTTAAAAATAGATTAAGATTTGACGTGTTAAATTTTGTATGTAAATTTTTTTCGTAGACTCTATATTCATATTGAAATATCAGATAAAAAGTATAGATATATTTCCTGCGAACTTACAAACAAAGTGAAGTGAATGGCCTAGTAGCTTCTACGCATCTAGCGATTTCTAAATAGAAAATAGTATTTTTGTTCTAATATAAATAAAAAACTTTTCAAACAAATTTATTTTTAATAGTTAGGGTTCTAATTTTTATTTTTGATTTAATTGTTGCTATACGACCTCTTCTCTCTGGTATGTATTTTGTACTCTTGTCTGTTCTTTTTCATTTTTTTCCTTATTTGTTTGTTTTAAACATATATAATTATCTATTCAAAATTAGATTTTGATATTTGATTCTAGGGTTATTTCACATATGGTTATATTAAAACAATTATTGTTTGCTATTCAAAATTTTAACTTTTGAAGAAAGTACATTATGGTTTTAGGTGATGATGAAACTAATAAAATATATGTTTAGCTGCAAAAATTTTAATGGTGAATATAATAATTTTAATTTCATTTAGAACAATATTGAAGATTATAATAAAAAAAAGTCCAAAATTTTATATTAAAAATTATTCACATTTTATAAATAATATTTTAAATTTTTTAATTAAATTACTCCAATATATACGTAAGTGAAATAATCAAATGAAATTAACAATTAAATAATGCATCCCTACAAACAAAAGCACTAATCTACTAACAAACAATTAATTATAATAACTAGAATTGAAAAAAAAAAAGGAACAATACATAAGTATCCCTGTAACATACGTTCGAAATTTTAGAGACATACTTATACTATATTAAGGTCCTATTTTCTCCTGAACTTATTTTATTAATAATTTTCTACCCTTTTTGACCTACGTAGCACTACATTATGGGCTCAACTCTGATTGATTTTTCATCAAGCTAATTATATTATATTATAATTATAATTTATAATTTATAATTATTAATTATTAATTATTAATTTATTAATTATATAGAAGAGCCAATGGATCACCGGCAATAATGTAAATATACTCATTTTCAAAGGTAAAATAATGTTATTTAAGCAAATCAGAAACTATCCTTTCTCATTTCAGATACATTTTGTCCTTTTATTATTATTATATCAAAGGTAGTACACTCTCTGCCCGACTCTAGAACCATCCATTTGTTTCTTTTTTAGTATGTAGAATAATAAGGGTAAAAATGTAAATATATACTAACAAATACACTCAATGCATTACTCGAGAACTATCCATTCTTCTTTTTCAGTATGTAGAATAACAAGTGTTGCCTTCTTTCATTATGCTTTATGATTTTTTAAATGTGGTCATGCGAATTCAACTTAAAATAACGACTTCGCTTCAGCATCTTCGATATCAAATCATATGTTAGAATAACGATACAAGTAAAGTTTAACAGAGTGTTAAAAATATTATTTCTTATACTTTTATCATTACCAAGCTACATCGACTACCTTTTCATTTTTCTTCTCTTAAATAAAAGTTTTGGAACATTGTAAAATGTTTGATACCTCACTAACGAATATTTTTTTTTCTTTTAACTGGAAAGTAATTTCAATGCAGTTGCTAATGAAATTCTAAACAAAAATAAAAATTTCAGTTAAGAGTCTTATACAATGTAGATCTTTATATGGGATTGTCTTAGACTATTCATGCTATGAGCTTACTTCATTATTCTAGAATAATTTTGAGTTTATGTTGTCTTTTCTATCTATACCTTTATTTTTGTTTAGTAATTCCCCTGCTCCCTTACATGAAATGATGTTGAGAACAATGTACAAATCTATGACTATAACTATTGAATCTTACATCAAATTTAATTTTGTTGAATTTTGGTATTACCTCTATGTGTATAATAGAAATAAATGTTTGTGTGTCAGTATCTGACCAAACTTGACTATATGAGTTGCGATTTTAGTCAATTTCTAAGTAAATTTTGAGTTGTTCAAGTAGTATTTCCCTTGTCTTTTTTTAGACTAGCGCCTCTTCTATGAATAGTTTAGCTACATCTATGTATCTGTATTATTGCTAGCATGATTATTTCCGTATGTATATACAACATTTTAACACAATCATTTTATTGAAGTTACTGTTATTTGCCTGATTACAATATTGTTTGTTTTTCTTTTGATCTTATATGGCTAACATGTTGTATTCTACCGGATTTAATTTTTGTTAAGCTTTTTGTTGGACAACGTACATGTGTGACAACTGACATGTTGTTTAATTGTATTGTGATAAATTATTATTGTTATAGATATTTGATGGATATTTACTTGAGGTTAGACTTTAATATGTTCTTTAAGGTGACACTCTATTTTTACCATAACTCATTCATCTAATGTCACACTAAATAAGAGCTTTTGTTGTTGCCTTTCAGGTAATTGCCGGTCAAAATCATGTTTACAATGGTAATGTTCTTTGATATTTAATATATTACAAGTAAATTTTGAAAACTATTGTTAAATTATCCTACTCTACTTAAATAGTAGGCTTTTTGTTTCAAGTAGCCTGCACTATATCTTAATATCCATCAATGATATGTTATTGAAAATACCACAATAGGAGTTGCATGTACAGAGAAGATCAGGAAGGAAACAACCCACTGTCTTCTCACTCATATAAACTACTGCTCTGTCGAAATATTGATAATTATATGAAGTTATAGCTTGAAATTAACTGAAGTTTCTATGAAATATATATCATGCAGGGATTGCTGAAACAAGTCTAATTCGGTAAGAAAATGTATATTTTACTATACAACTGTTCTGCTAGTTTAAAGTTTTCTCATACTTCTTTTTTGAATTGTTTCAAAAATATAGCACTTATGCATGTCCTACATTATTTTTGTTATAGTTTTTTTGCAGCTTTGAAACTTGCTTCGAAAGATATTAGTAATGAAATGTGGCTTACATTCCATGGATTAGTGACAGAATAAAAAAGAATTTCCCTTTCAATGTTATTTGACACATATTTGATCAGTTCGTCAGACTCCATTTTGAATTGGGAGTTCATTACTTAATCCTCTCTTTGGGGTTCAATCTAAAAATAGTGCAAAGGTTGTTGATGTATTTCAGCTGAAGTTATGATAAATTTGTTTTATCATATCAAGCTTAAGTAAAGCAAGATGAGTATGTTGAATTGTGAAATGCAAGATCAATATTTATTGTATCATTTGAGTTGAATATCTTGTATTATATGAAGACCAAATAACTACCGGAAGAACCAATAAAGTGACAAACTATGTAACAAAAAATTATGTTAAGAAATTTCAGTAGAAGTTTGTGATTTTTTTGCTTTAACGTAACTTCTTGTTTTACAATTTATTGTTGCTTCAGCAAATAGTAAATTATATACCAATAAAATTAATTAGTTTCAAGCTTTTTATATACTTGCTCATATTTTTTCTTAATTTTATTCTAAAATGAAGTTTATAAGTTGTTTGAAAAGCGATAATATAAAAAAAATTAAAGAACGGAGTTATCAAAAACATTACAAAATATAAATGTTTATGCTTAGCACATGCAACCCTATCTAGTATATATATAGATGAATCAATGCGCTCGTTGTACAAAGGTCTTGCATCCACGTTTAATTTTCTAGTTTAAAAAGTGTTTTTTTAGATAAGAAAGAAGTTGTAAAAAGGTTTTGGAATTACATTATTTTTTTGCTTTTTTTTTAATACTTATTATAATGCATAAAGTTTCCTTAAAATTTATATCTAATTTTTAATAAATATTTGCATTTTACGGGAATCTTTTTGCACTTTCAACTATATTTTAAAACGTCATATATATTTCATTATTGGTCATTCTCACCAATAAGGTAAGTGCAAATCATATACAAATTTCAACTTATCATGTGTTACTAGTAAAGGCAGCTCAGACGTTTTTCTGGTCCAACACGAGCATTTATAGCGTAATAATCAGATCAGTTTTTAAAAGTAAGATTAATTAGGGAGTAGATAATTAGTGGAATTTATGAGGGACATATGATGACTGACAATGATCTTTGGAGAACTATTAGGAGAAACAAATTCCAATTATGAACAAAGTCATATTATTTATTATACATTGTAGATAAATCTACAAAGGTAATTGCCATATGTTCTCATCACAAGTCACTTTCTTACAAAAGAAAAGGACTAAATTAACTCTAGTGAATAGAATTACTATAGGTAAAATGACAATGTAATAGTAGAGTATTATCTAATGAATCGAATTAAATAGGCAGAAAATTACAATCGAGCATATGAGGAAGAAAAAACACGAAGAACTCAAAACAGCCGTTTAATAGGTTATCCCATTTTTTGCAATAAATAATTATCATACTTTGATGGTTGTCAAGTCAATATTTTCTAAAATCCTGACAATAGTATTTGTTTTTACCTTTGACTTCCGATTTTATTTTTTAAATTCCACCATCACAAACCAAATAAAAAACACTCCTACCTAGAGTTAAAAAAAAATAATTCGCCTTTACCTAATTGATTTGAAAAGTAATTTTTATAAATAAATTATGTTTGATTATTATTTTTTTCAAAAATGTGTTTTTGAAAATCAAATTACGATTAAGGGCGAGTGCTAATATACTTTTAATATTAAAATTATTTAATATAGAAAAATTAGTTTAAACATTTATTACAAAAAAATTAAGTTGAATTTTAGTTTTTATCAAATTAAAAATTGTCTTCACATTTTGAAGGACTATTTAAAGAATCCATAGTGTTCTTCCTTTTATAATTACCACAATGATGACTATTATAATTCTGTCCCTCCACGCCCTTATTCATATCATTAATTATTTGTCATCTTTCGGACTAATTATTCACTGCTATCATATTCATATGATTGAATGGAGCAAGTTAACAGGCGGATTTCAAAATTATCACATGTTGCTACCACATTCTTTTCAAGAAATGGAGCAAAATCAATATGATGAATTTCAAGACATTTCATCAAAAATATATTATTTTTGCCTTAATCTTCATTTTATCACCACTATGGTGCATTGAGAGTCAAACTCAATGTCTTATCCATATAAGGCACATAGGTCATAATTCTATGGAACTTGAACCCAATACATTATTATCACAGTGCATCAAAATTGATGTCTTACCCTCTTGGTGCGATAGAATTTGAATCTATCGTCTTATCATCAAATATTTTTCATTATGTGCATCTAGACTTAACCTGATGTCTTACCCTTTTTGGTGCGATGAGACTTGAATCCATCGTCTTACCCTTAACCAACGGTATAATAGACCGAAGTACAACATGACTCACCCTTTGAGTCTTTCAAAACAATCAAAATAATATTCAAACTCATGCTATTAAATTTTTATACCTTCTTCTATCTAAGAAATTTTGTATAGCATATCATATTCAACCAATAGTAGGATATGTCTTCGAATTCTGATAATTGTTAGTGACTAAATACTATTTTATTCTAAATCGTAAAAATATTTTAGAAACTAAATACCTGATTTTATGGATATAATACCTTGATTCTCATAACAAGATCAACCAAAAAATGAGTTAAAGAAAAACTAAAAAACTCAATCTTAATTGGCTATATACTCGTGCTAATACGTGTTATAAATCAATCTCATAAGAATATAATCATAAAGAGAAGAAGACAAGAGAAGTAGATAGAAGAAAATGAATTTTCTTCTTCAAGTGTATATTACAATGGTGAATGATATCTCTATTTATAGATAGAGAAATCAATCAAAAGGTCACCATGTTTAATGTGACATTAGTAGATACATTTGTATCTCAAAAAAGTTCATATCACCTTGAAAATATATATCCATAATAAGAATAAATTTATGATAAGCTTAATGGACAATTCACTTAATTCTATATATTTATAACAGTAACAAACAATCCAACAATATTACTTGTCAAAATTCAATATGCTTAAACTCTAAAAATTTAAATTTAGTAAATTGTTTTTGAAGTTTTACTAGTCAAAATTTTAAACCCCAACCATACTATATATAAACCAGGGTTCAGTCCAACTTCATTTTTATTATTATTATTTTTTCTCAAGTTTTTATATGAAGTACTTTACTGAATATTAATTTAGGAAATAACGAAAAACTTTAGAGTGTTTCAAAACTACTTAAAAAGAGTATATCACTATGGAATTCTTTTGAGAAACAACCGAGACCCAAAACAGCAAAATTGGTGGCCAAAGGCCAAACCAATTGCTTCAATGACTCGACCCCATAGAACGCACGTTATAGTTGACCTCCACCAACCATTTTATTTTTGTTGGAAAATCCACTAATCTCACTAGCAAATAAAATAAATGAATTTTAAAAAAAGAGCCAACTTAATTCTCCACTATAAATAACCATTATGATACTAAAGTATTTCCACACAATATCCCATTACTAAACTTTTCTCCTACTCCTTTAATTTTATCTCATTCCCATGGCTCCTACTTCTCAACAACCAACTCCATCTCCATCTCTATCTGACTCACTAACCACCGATGCATCATCGGACGTTACCATCACTGGAAAGATATACACACGAGTTCGTCTCGCAACAAAATCTGATCTATCTCATATATACAAATTGTTTTACCAAATCCATGAATACCATAACTTCACTCATTTATACAAAGCTACTGAGTCCTCCTTAGAGGGCTTGCTTTTTAAAGAAAATCCTCTTCCACTTTTCTATGGGCCATCCGTACTTCTACTTGAAGTCTCTCCAACCCCTTTTAACGAACCCACTAACCAAGCGTTCAAGCCCGTCCTTACAACGTTTGATCTTAAATTCCCCGTGGTGGAAGGACAAGTTGAGGAATTCCGATCCAAACATGATGATAAGAGTGATGCTTACATTGCAGGATATGCTTTCTTTTACGCGAATTATTCATGTTTCAATGACAAGCCAGGATTTTATTTTGAAAGTCTTTACTTCAGGGAGAGTTATAGAAAGTTGGGAATGGGGAAATTGTTGTTTGGAACAGTTTCGTCCATTGCTGCGAACAATGGGTTCGTATCGGTCGATGGAATAATCGCAGTTTGGAATAAGAAGTCATATGATTTTTACATAAATATGGGAGTTGAAATTTTTGACGAGTTTAGGTATGGAAAGTTGCACGGTGAAAATCTTCAAAAGTATGCACATAATAAGGGGAAAACTGAGGAAGAGACCTGTTAATTTTTTATTTTTTTTTAATTTTTTGCTTAATTGTGTAATTTATCAATTTCCTTTTTCTAAAAGCAGTTGTATTATCTTTGTGCTTGAAAAATATTAGTAAATAATAAAATATTTGTCAAAATAAATTGAGAGGGACAAATGGATGAGATTTTGATATAGGAGTAATATTATCAAACATGTAAATAGAGAAAAAATAACTATATTTTAGTTTGAGTAGCTTATAATTTACTCTTTTCGTCTCGTTTTTTTGTCGCATTTCAAAATTTAATTAAGCATATTTTTCAAAGTAAATTTTTCATAAATCATTTTAACATTTTGAATTATCAATTATTGTGACTTATAGTATTCTTTACGTAGTTTATAAATATATAAATTTTATGTCAAAAAATTTGAAAATTTTATACGCAAATTTCCGATTATAATTAAACTGTTTGACTTTCGAAAAATGAAAATATCACATATCTAAATGGAAATATGTCTCAAGTACATATCTAGATGAATTAATCGGTTAGGGAAAGTCTAATTTGACAAGTCTTTCTACGTATGGGAGGAAGTCGTACAAAGGTTTTAATGGTGATTTGAAGTTGTTTAAAGGTTTTAATGGTGATTTGAGGATGATGGAAATATGTGTCTGATTTATTAATTAAAAAATCAAATTGATATTTTCATGTGATATTTTTACACTGATTTAAGGTTGTATTATTACTCCTTCATGCACTCAACTTTCGTGAGAACACAGTTGCAATGAAAATGACTGAAATAGATGTATTTATTGTGAATTTGAGTAATTATATAAGTTAATAGGACCTTTTCAATTATTTATTTTTTAAAAAAAAGCAAGTACAAATTTAATTTTGAAGATAAGGTTCGGTCTTTCTCATGTTCCACTTATCCAAAAAAAAAAAAACAACAAATCTAGGCCATAGCTTTTTTAATATTTTATTTTTTAAGAAGGGGTACAAATCCAAGGGGAATCTATGTATTCTGTCTCATTAAAACGATATATATATCTAGTATCCAGTGTTTATTTTGACATCTCCAATCAGATTTGTGCTAAATAATTCACCAGAGAAGAAAAAAGCTAAGAGATACTCCGATGATACGTTGCGGGTGTATTTGATACGAAGGAAAATAATTTTTGATTTATTTACTCATGTCTGATTCGTGAATAGAAAATATTTTTCAAAAAAGATTTTTAGTATTTGATTTATAAATGAAAAATCATTTTACAAAAATATCTTTTATTTTTTTACATTTTTGAAATATATATTTTTTTTGGGGGGGGGGGGGTGTGATAAAAAATTGAAGTGAAACTTTTTTAAAAGAACAAGCTCTAAATTATTTATTTATTTTTTTGGGAGGGGAGAGGGGGGGAGGGCTGGTTTGAGGATAGGGACAAAAATAAATTAAATTTTTCAATAAAAAAATAATGTAATTTAAAGTTACAACAAAGTTTGGAAAATGTTTTTCTTAATTTATTTTTTTTAAATTTTAAAAAAAATAAAATATTTTTTAAAATATTTACCACAATTAAACATGAGAAAATTAAAAAATATTTTCATTTCCTATTAAACATACGCCCTAGTTGTTAAAGTTTTCACTTTGGGCTTGGGGATGAATGTTGATCTAGAATGGTAGTAAGCTATGAACGAGTTTTAGCAGCAAGTAGCAAGTTATAAGATAGTAGATACTCCTATGGGATGCATCACTATCATGGTCATCTTTCGAGTTCTTCTAAATCATTACCTTTTAATCCATACAAAAAATTTAGAAGAGTTTTTATTCAAATCCTACAAAAATGTATGTGTTGTATAATATCATAATCTAACCTTCACTTGTGACTTTTGCGTGATATTTTAAAAAATATTATAAATTAATCGAAACATATTGATATATATTAAAAAAAAAAACACATGATGAGACGGTTACAAAATTGACAGGCCTACTAAAATTGTCGTTAGTCGTAAAACGTTCAACAAATTGCGTATTCCGGAAACGTATATTCCTGGAAAATTCATAAATAAGTTTATTTAAAATGAAAATAATTTTATGTAGGTACGAAAGGAAAATGTTTTTTAATATTTTCATGTTTAGTTGGGTAAGATTTTAAAAAATATTCTCCAAATTAATTCATTTTCCTCAAAATTAAAGGAAAATGACTTTTCTTCAAAAATTAAGAAAAAACTTTTCAAGACTTTTCTCCAACTTCAAATTATAAATTTTTCATAAAAAAATTTGATTTATTTTTTAAAAATATTTTCAATTTTAATTCAAAAATAATTTTATATTTTTTAGTAAAAATAAAAGATATTTTCTGAAAAGTATTTTTCAGTCATAAATCAAGCACTATAAAAATTTTTTAGAAAATATTTTCTACCGATCATCAACCAAATATGAAAAAATAAATCAATAATTTATTTATTTTCTAGAAAAATATTTTCTATGGAAAACATTTCATTCTAACCAAACACACCCTAAAGCATGTTCATTTTCAGTGTGAATATATATATATATATATATATA